TATATATATATATATATATATTTATATATATATATATATATTTATTTATTCATTTATTTATTTATTTATCATGGCCTACAAAATTAACTAAAAACTCTGTTTAATTTAATTGCTCTGATCAATTGCAAATTTAAGACACTGATAATGGTAGTGGATAACTAGTGAACTGCACTGCAGTCACTGCAGCCAGATGATGTTCAAAAGTTATGTTATGTTCAAAAGGACAGGTAGGTGGTTAATATGAAACTACAAAAAGGATTTTAACAAGTGCACACTATATGATTGAACATATAGTAATAATGATAACGATAATAATCTATACTGAAAGAGAGAGAGAGAAAGAAAGAAAGAGAAACGTTTTCATCTATGCTATCGCTGCACAAATTGCAAAATGGGACAGTCACTATAGTTGCACTAGTTAAGCTTCGATTCTTGATGAGGTGGTCAACTGTGACAGAGAGATCGGCCTTTTGTGGAAGTCACACTCCCGAGACATCTGCCCATGGGACATCAAGCAGAAGTCGCCCATCTCCGACGATCAAAGGCGAGAGAGATCTTCCACCCAAGAGCCCTGCCGCCCAAGACAGATGCCAGGAACCGCCCGTCCACGATACTTCGCCGACTCGAAACCCTTCACTGACGTCCTCTTCTTCCACTGAGGCCAACAAGCAACAAGTGCTCAAGTGGTCTGTAGGGCCAATGCAGAGGCCCTCAAACCCCATCCGACGTCTTCGTACCCTACAAGTGGTCGGCCCCAGTAAATACTAGACAAAGCTTGCCGAAAGCAGCTCCACGATGCACGTGCTCGTTAGGCAGCACTAGCAGAAAAAGTCGATGCTCGTCTCGTCAGGCCGACGAAGAAACGTCCTTTGCTGTGGTCCCAGGTTGAGGGTCCATCCCGGCAAGGCAGAGTTGACTTTTCTTGTTGACTGGTCTCCGGGCGACCACAGACATCCCTTAATCTTTTCAAAGGTGAACAGCCGTCAATAGTAGTAGAAGCCATTAGATGTACAAGTCATCAAATGTAGGCGGCAACTCCCGCGGAGTTGAGTTGGTGTTTTGAGGTGGGAGAGGCCTGGAGAGCTGGAGAGATGTTATCGCTGTGGCCGCTGGGATAGGATGATCTCGGCCGGATGCTGGAGCTTAAATACTATCAAGCTTTGCCGGCTACCCAGGACCGATGGGAGCCTACAGTCTAAGTCGCGAGGTGTCCGTGTCAACCAATCAGGCATTGAGTACTCCCCCTCCAGTGAGGGAGCTAAGCGAGTGAGCAATAGCAATATTCATGTCACTCTGGGGTCACCAGCATGGGGAATGGTTTTGCATACTATTCTATATTATCTTTTAAGGCGGTGGTTGTTGTGGATACGTGTTCCCACAGTGTTGGTGTTGAGCGGAGATCGACGGGATAGCCGGCGAAGATACCTGACGGTGAAGACCTTGGCGGGCCTACTGTTGCTGGTGCTGTGGTCGGGCTCAGATGGAGGATCGGTCTTGGCCAGATACTGAAACTTAAGTACTGTCAAGCTGTGCCAGCTACCCAGGACTGAGGGGAGTCTGCAGTCCAATGAGCGAGCCGTAAGGTGTCCATGTCAACCAAGCAGGATTCTGCATTGATGGTGAGGCACGTGGGCACGGTTGTGGACCTGAGTGACCCAACCTGGGGAGAGTATGCCACACTCCAGGTTTCCGGGGTCGTGCTGCTACAGCGCTTCTAAAATGCCAGTGTCCAGGATCAACATTTGATACACCTCTGAGCCAGCCTTAAGCTCAAAATTCAATCCTGCACATGCGCAGAACGAGGTAGATAATCCCACTAATCATGTATTGTTATGTCATCATCAGCTTTAGAGAAGATGGTGTTGAGTTGCTATTAATATTTATTATAGGCAATAATGAAACAAAACATGACATTTTCATAATAAAGATATATGTGAAATTCAATATATATTCTTATAAGTTGTAGAATACTCAAACGGCAGATGTAACTCTCAACAGTGAAAAGAAAATCCCACAGAGAATTCAAGAGGTACAGGGAAGGCATTGTTATGTCCTGGTTGGAAAAACACCCCAGCTTTAGTATTACACTAATAGACTGAAAAAGAAAGCTTTCAATAACATGATAAGGTTTTACATTCATTAAACAAACTTGCTGAATCTATATACTACAAAGACTTTAAAACCGCATGGAAATGTTACGTTCCTCGACATAAACATCCTGAAAAAAACTACCCTACCCCATGCCTTCTGATCATTTGCGTGTACCATTTCCATGGCAACAGTATTGTTCGTATACCATAGGGGTTATAATCCTTGAGATGCGAGCATTAGTCTACATTCAAAATTTGGTTAAGGAAATTTTATTTCATGGCTTGTTTTTTTCTCATATATTCAAAGTAATAGAAATTAACTGAAAACGAAAGATTATGGAAATTATTTTTTTCTCATAAATCTTTACAAGACAAACATTTCTCTTTTTTATATACTCTGTATCTCGCTAAATTGAGAACATACCTAGTATTCAATGAAATAGACAATAATTGAAGTGGAAAAGTCTGAATTGTTAACATAATGTTTATAAACTAAAATCCAGAACAAAAATAATCCTTAGTAATAAAACAGTAAATTTTGATTGCTGGTGATGGCAACTTGGCGCTCTGGCAAAGACCATTAACATCATTTCATATATTTCAAGCTCAAAAAATGGTAAAATATTACAAAATGAAGTATAGAGCTTGGGCCGAGTAGTTACGAGACTAACTCCATAGGATGAGATCTACCAACAAATTTGTCAGGATACACTCGGAACGTGTTTGTCGGTATTTGTTGCAACATTGTCTGAATCACTCTTTAATGCCAGATTGAGCCATTCTATTTCATGTCAAAGATTGATTTAAATGGCATCTTTTGATATTTCAATATCAGTAATAGCTATTGTTTATCTTTCTGTATCTCAACGTTGACTCTATTCGGTTGGCTTTAAATGACTTGGTTGGCTGTTGCATCTTTTTTTTTTTTTTTATGTATAATATATGTAGTTAT